ACGCATCTTAAATACCTGGATTCAATAGGATTTCATGGGATATTACACTTACTGCTTTTTTATTTGCTTTTTAAATTGAATACATTATGCATGAGTTCAGTAGTTCAGCACTGCACCGAAGACTATTATGAAATGTTGCGTAATATTAGCGTGCAGCTAACAATTCCACAATGCAGTTTGTCACTTTTGCAAAACTTAATTCAAAGGTGTGAATTTACAGTGGGGCAGAGAAGAATTTAGTCAGCCTCCGATTGTGCAAGTTCTCACACTTAAAGGTGAGAGACCTGCACTTTTCACCATAGCTATGAGAGACAAAATGAGAAAAAGAAAATCCAAATTTTCGGATTTTTAAAGAATTTATGTGAAAATTATGGTAGAAAATAAACATTTGCTCAGTAACAAAAGTCCATCTCAATACTGATACCCAGCTGTCGCTGGGCAACACAAACTTTCACCTCCCTCCAAAGACTTTCTATGGCGCTGAGATCTGGAGACTGGCTAGGTCACTCCAGGACCTTGAAAGGATTCTTATGAAGCAGCTCCTTCGTTGCCCAGTTGGTGTGTTTGAGATCATTGTTGTGCTGCCACGTTTCATCTTCAATGCCCTTTGCTGATGGAAGGAGGTTTCCACTCACACACATAATCTGACGATACACATTCGTTATTTCCTTTACACAGATCAGTCGTCCTGGTCCCTTTGCAAGAAAACAGCCCCAAAGCATGATGTTTCCACCCCCATGCTTTACATGTCACTCACGAGGTTCCCCCGTGATGTTCTGGGATTTCTGCTCACCGTTCTTCTGATCATTTTGAACCCACAGGGTGAGATCTTGCACGGAGTCCTTGATCAAGGAAGATTTTCAGTGGTCTTGTACGTCTTTCACTTTCTAATAATTGCTCACAGTTGATTTTTTTTCACACCAAGGTGCTTACCTATTGCAGATTCAGACTTCCCAGCCTGGTGCAGGTCTACAGTTGAGTTTCTGGTGTCCTTTGACAGCTCTTTGGTCTTTGCCATGGTGGAGTTTGGAGTGTGACGGTTTGAGGTTGTGGACAGCCATCTTTTAAAGTTAAAGCCCCATTAGTCATCACACACTCGTGAAAACCATCTCCCCTTTTGTCTTTTATGAAATATTTGAAAAAGCTTTATTATGCATGGATTTGTCAGATTAACTGTAACAACTCATCTCAGGTATTATTTGAAACATATTTTTGTTAATCAAATGTTTTTTTATTGAGGATAATTGTTTATTTGTTTTAAAACTATGTTGGGTAATGCTTTGTACACAGGTAACTGTCATCTGTGCACTTTTGCAGGGAACGTTTTTATCTTTTTCCGTTCATGTTTTCATCTGACCTTTAAATTTGTGCCACAAACACAAACATTAGGAAAGCAGACAGGTAGCGACCTCTCCTCCAGAGCTACACACACATAGACATAGACACACACACACACACACACACACCACTCTGTATAATATAGTCACACATTAACACTGTCACCCTTGCACCGTTGGCTCCCACTACCTCACATGATTCCCTTTGTCAGTTTGGGATGCAGCCGAGGAAGAAGCCCTTCCCAGGCATCCCTGAATGGTCTGAAGCTGCCAGCCCAGGTGTACTATGCAGTCACTCTCTGGACCCTGGATGCAGACAAACAGAGCCATCCAGGTTTTTACCTGCGGGCCAGCCTTCGCCAGTGTTACGATGTGACCACAGCTCTCTGCTCCACTACTTGTTTTCAACATGCAAGGAAAGCTGACCATCAAACTTCAGATAATCCTGACCATCACTGCTGTTGCTGTCTTTGCCCAGTCTACCTTGCTGTCTCCCGCACCTGTTTTTGTCTTTATGCTTCTGTTGTTTTTTCCCCCATGTGTGATGATGCTGTCTGTGTCCTTTACATTTGCCGGAGGGAGCAGAGGGGACTCAACACAGTAAATGTGTCACCCTTTCTCCGTTTCCTCCCTTGTCACAGTCACCGGCACCTTCACATGTTGTGGTCAGGACCTCCAGAGATCTCACTGTAAAGATGGGATAAAAAACTGAAAAACAAACATCCAGCATGTCTTTTTCCCCTTCAGCAAGCTGAGTGCATTAGTGACCTTTTAAAGTGCCAAATCCCTGGTGCTTCACACACACACACACACACACACACACACACACACACACACACACACACACACACACACACACACACACACACACACACACACACACACACACACACACACACACACACACACACACACCAAGTACCACCAACGACTAATAGGGCTAAAAAGCTGAAACTTTAAACAAAGATCACATCATTTCCTTGCTAGGAGACAATGGTTCCTATTGGCATTCAGTTATGTAGCCAAGGCAAACAAATGTCTATTGTTGGCAAACAGTTGCCAAATGTGTAGAAAATACTAGCATGATTCAATTCAATACACGTTTATTTTTAAAGTGCCAAATCACAAAAAGAGTCATCTCAAGGCACTTCACCTAATAAACATTCCAGTTCAGGTCAGTTCGTTAAGCCAATCAAAAAAAATGTTTCCTATATAAGGAACCCAGCAAATTGCATCGAGTCACTGACTAGTGTCAGTGACTTTACAGCAATCCTCATTCTAAACAAGCATGTAGCGACAGTGGAGAGGAAAACTCCCTTTTAACAGGAAGAAACCTCCAGAGGATCCTGGCTCAGTATAAGCAGCCATCCACCACGACTCACTGGGGATCGAGAAGACAGAGCAGACACACACACACACACACACACACACACACACACACACACACACACACACACACACACACACACACACACACACACACACACACACACACACACACACACACACACACACACACACACACACACACACACACCAAGCAATGTGTCCATGGTTACACCATGATTTCTTAGTAAATATTCTATTTGGCGAGAGATAAACTTTATTGTATTTATCCTAGTGAATCTACAATTAAACGGATAAACTAGTAGTAGCACATCCAACGTCAAGGAAACAAAAATTTATTTTAGGGAGAACGTTTAAGTGGTTAGCAGCAGTGTGCTAGACGATGGCCGCCTCCATGAGGTCACCACAGCTCAGCAGAACATCGTTGTAGCTTCCTCTGGGGAGAAAAACACTTAGAGGAAAAATAAAGTTAATGGCTGACGTAGCAGGAAATAATACAGTTAAAGAGCAGATTGTAGAAGAAAGTAGTAGAGTATGAAAAGTGGCCATTGTTGTAAAAAGTGTGTCATGATGTGTTGCGTTCACTTGTTCAGCAAATGTGTTAACACCGTTGTTCTATTTCATCATCTGCAGCTATTTACCTGAGTTTGTTTAAATGTGTTGCGTATTTCATTTGTTCTACAGCTGGGAAATAAATTAGGATTCAGAAAAATAACTGTTTTTGGACTGCAAATACCACGGCGGTGGTAAAAAAAAAAGGCCCAACAGCGTCTCCACTTCCTGAGAGTGCTCAGGAGGAACAACTTGGAGGAGAGGCTGTTGGTGACATTTTACAGAGCCCCCATAGAGAGCGTCCTAGCGTACGGCATAACAACATGGTATGCAGGGTGCTCAGCTGCAGACAGGGAGGTGCTGCAGAGGGTCATAAATACAGCCCAGAAGACCATTGGCTGCTCTCTGCTGAGCCTGGAGGACATTGCAAACTCTCGGTACCTCAGCAGAGCTGGCAACATCAGGGGTGGGGTGGGGTGTGGGTGGGGGGGTGGGGGGTTGTATTTTGCACCAATGGGAGTGGCACTTCAATTTTGTTGTACTTTGTACAAAGGCAATAAAAGGCTATTCTATTCTATTCTATTCTATTCTATTCTATTCTATTCTAAGAAGGCACTGGAAAATCAACAGCATAGAAGAAAATAGAGCTTCTGTTTGGCAAAAGGAGAAGACAGAGCTGCAAAGTGAATTCAAGTATTTGTTTTCTTCATCTGCAAAATGACCTTATTGGGTGAAATCGTGGGAGGCAGTAAGCTCACACCATATGACTCTAATTGCAGCAAATGTGTGTGTGTGTGTGTGTGTGTGTGTGTGTGTGTGTGTGTGTTTGCGTGAGCGGACATCAGACAGAGCTACAGGGCCTTCAGTAGGGAACCACAGTAGAAGAGATGAGCACAGAATTGCAGAGGGCATATGTCAAAATGAAGACATTACCCTCCACATTACTCCCACTCCAACAAGATAGGCCATTCAGTTTCAGCGCACAGATATTAACATACAGATAAAACAGATATGGACAGGAAAGAGAAGCAGTCTCCTAGAGTGGCGAATGAGTAAATAAGCTGTGAATAAAAACTCTGATGGAGATGGAAAATGAGCCAAATTCTCTAGAAAATATAGATAAGCCTCTAGATTTTTGCATAACTTTGAGCAGTCTGCTTGTTCTGAATAATAACCCCCAAATTTAGCTCAGTTTGCTCTCCCCTGCTGCTTTTCACAGTCTGATGGATGTGTGGTGTGCTAGTCGTGCCGCCTTGTGTCACCTGTGCTGCACTTGCTTCGGGCACAGAAACAAGGGGGGGGGGGGTGGGGGGGCAGCCATGGGGGGTCTGGGGGCGGCCAGAGTGGGGGAGAAAGAGACATCTGTGATTAACACATACAGACATGTGTCAGCGTGGAGCATTCAGTAGGAGGTGCACCAGAGAACACACACACACACACACGCACACACACACGCACACGCACACGCGCACGCGCACACGCACACGCACACACACACACACACACACACGCACACGCACACGCGCACACGCACACGCACGCACACACACACACACACACACACACACACACACACACACACACACACACACACACACACACACAACCTGCTCCCGCTGGCACAACTTTACGAAAATAAAAGCAGTGATGGAATGGTGAGGGAGGTATTTTGGGCAAGGCGGTGATGAGCACACACACACACACACACACACACACACACACACACACACACCACAGTGTGCACACCGTAATTAATCGATAGGTTAAGTGTGAGAAAAAGGGTCTCTCGCTGAATTAAAAGTCACGTTAAAGGGAACATCACACCTTCATCTGACACTTGCAACAATGAATTGTTTGAGCTGTTTAGAAACCAAAGAATCAGAAATGTGATGTTGTGAAGCAGATAGGAGCTTTTCTCTCAGCTAGTTCTGTTTTAAAGCCAGATGCTTCTCTGTTGTGATAATGGTGCTCTTAACCTTCCCAGTTTCTGCGCAAATCAGTTAAACATTGCTGTATAATTTTGGATGCAAATTTTATATTAACATTCTCTCAGTGTTACACTTTTTTTTTTTTACAGACGTTAGGACCCATTTCTCAATACTAATGCCACTTTTGCTAGACACTTGACACAGTTCTCCTAACGGAGTTTCAGCTTGGCAAAACAGTTCATTTCACATTCAAAATGCACCACAACCACTAAAACACTTCATCCAGGTCTCAAATAAACACATTCCTCCAGAACACTAGCAAAGGTTGACAGCCGACAAACACACTTTGTCACCCACAAAACAAAGACCTAAAAAACACTAACAACATGTAGCATTACATTTTGTGTAAAACAAGGACACATCTCTGTTCATACTTCCAATAGATGCTACTGGAATGAATCAGACATGATGCAGAATTAGTCAATATTTCATGTTGTTCAATTATTTTTAATGGTATTTGTTTTTGCACTAAGTACTTCCAAAACACAAGACTTTGTAAACACAACATCCACTGATACAGATTCAATATGCTAATCTACTCGGTCTTCTCCATTTGGCCCCAGGTTCTCATCCACATCACATCTTATGTCATCTAGGGCAATACACCTAGGAAAGAATCTTCTGGCATGCCTGATCCATCCCTGGCAATCTACTGCCGATATGTCCAGGCATCCAGCGTACATTGCATCCAGAAGGGACATTTGATCATGTGGATGATGGTCGTACACCTTCCACCGCCATGAGGCAAGGAATTCCTCTATGGGGTTGAGGAATGGAGAGTAAGGTGGGAGGAAAAGTGACTCCATTCTGGGATGGGCCACAAACCACTCTGTGACTGCATGGGAGTGGTGAAATGCCACATTGTCCCATACAATTATATATGTTGGCTGATTCCGTCTGCCCACATCCCTTTCCTCACCTAGCACAACCCTTCCATAGAGATCATGCAGGAATGCAAGGAGCCGTCCAGTGTTGTATGGCCCAATTACTGGTCTGTGTGACAGCAGTCCATCAGTGGATATTGCTGCGCACATTGTGATGTTGGCACCCCTCTGGCCCGGGACATTCACCGTGGCTCTCTTCCCAATCACATTCCTCCCTCGTCGCCGTGTTATGGCCAAGTTGAAACCTGCCTCATCCACATAGATGAAAATGTGGTGTGCTTGCATGCCTTCAATCTCCATGACTCTCTGAAAACAATCCACAAGGCAACATAAGCTGTGACATTACTGTAGTAAATGTGTACAGATTGTCTTTGTGTGTGTTTGGTATTGTTCATTACTGCAACAGTTCTTACCTGGACATGTTGGTTCCTGAGTTGCTTGACATGTTCAGAGTTCCTCTCAAAAGGCACAGTGTACAAATGTTTCATCCTGACCTGATGTTTCTTCAGGACTCTAGAAGTTGTTGTTAGGCTTACACTGTGAATATTTGCAAAGGTAACGTTGTCTGCCAAGATACTGTGTCTGATCTCAGTGAGCTTTATCCCATTGTTTCTGATTACCATCTGATCAACAATGGTGGTTTCCTGCACATCAGTGAACATCCTTCCTCTCCCTCCTGTGTGAGGTAACCGTTGAGTCCTAGTAAGCAGAAATGCAAAAACAATTACACACAACATTATTTACATCTGACATGTGCAACTGAGGCCTAGTCCACACGTAGCCGGGTTTTTTTTAAAAACGAATATCCGCTCCTCCAAAAACTTGCATCCTCACCACCTCGTTAAAAAAAAAACTCTGTCCACACGTACCCGGATAAATACGTTGCCAGACCTGTAGGAGGCAGTACTTCCCCCGTTCTTAACCTCGTCCTTCGTCTGTGGTCTTCCGCAAGGAGCAGTAATTCCGCTTGCAAAAACAAACAAGCAGAAAGCGCTTGGACAATTGATAAAGCCAGCGCAGCTCTGAGGGCATCCATGCTGTCGGCTAGTGTAAACACAGGTCGCACACGTGATGTCAGCATTTTTTTGTCGCGGAAAGTGACGTTGCGGACCTTAAAACTCCGGTTTTGTCCGTCCACACGCAGACACCCAAAACGGAGAAAACACAGATCTTCACTTTGGCCGGAGTTTTTAAAATGATCCGTTTTCGTGTGAAAAAACTCCGTTTTCGTGTGGATGACAGGCCAAAACGTAGAAAAATATCTACGTTTTGGCAGATCCCCGGCTACGTGTGGACAGGGCCTGAGTCACATGCCCTTGCAGAATACAAGTTACCTGTTGGTCTGCCGGAAAACTCCAACAATAGATACCACTGTAGAGCGTTGCAGATTCGGCTGCACTCTCTGACCAGCCTCTCTCATTGAGAGACCATGATTTACTACATGATCAGTTTCAGTAGCTCTGATCTCATCTGAGACTCCAGCTCTTGATCTTCCTCTTATTCTTCTGCCACCACGCATACGTACTCCTCGCCCTCTCCCAGCCTCTATTCTTCCTCTTTCAGCCACTTCTCCATTTCTGGCTGGGTCCATGTTTACATCACAACACAAACCTATTCAGCAGTTGACTACTTTTATAATGACATTGAAAGTGTAAAACCTGTGCAGCTGTTCATCTACAAATAGAGTCAGCCGTGGCTGGTTAAACTGCATTTATGTTTCAATAACACATTGCTGTTGGAGTATGTAAGCAAGTGCAACATGTCCTGTTAGTACAATGCTTTTTGGCAGTTGTTGTGTCTGAGTGAGAAGGGACATCGTGACCAGGGGCGTAGCACCAAATTCTGGGCCCTAGGTACAAGTCTTCTAGGTGGGCCCCATGCTCAATTGTGTAATATCTCTCTTACACATTTTATGCCATGCTATAAGACAAGATAATAAATATGATCTCAGTTTAACCTCTATATTGAGCAAATACAAATGCCAGCATAATAAAAGTGAAATGCCCAGACTTCACATATAATTATTTTTATTTGCCAACAATGTGTTCAAACATTAATCCTGGAATTTATTTTCCAGTAAATGCCCACTGACGGGTCTTCATGTTAGCAAAATCCCTTATGAGATCTTTAAAGTCCAATCCTTTGGCTAATTGGCTTTCAATAGAAAGAAGAGCTAGGCTGTTCAGTCTATCCTGGGACATTGTTGATCTCAAATAATTTTTCACCAGTTTCAGTTTGCTAAAAGCCCGTTCACCCCCAGCAACAGTCACAGGTAGTGTGCAAAAAATCCTCAGTCCAATACAAACTTCTCCAAAAATGCTCTGTAATTGCATCCTGTAGATGGAATTAAGCAGCTCAAGAGGAGACATGGGATGCAGTACAGAGCCTTTGCACTTTCACTGTAAATAAGCCAGTCTCTTCTTATCTTCTCATGCCCATTGGCTGACTTAGCATATTGAAGATAATTTGGAAATGGCTTGCCCTCCATATCTTTGGGTGTTATTTTGTCGATTCCTGGTGTTTGATCACTTTTATTCGCCAGTCTTCTGACAACTGTATCTCTCTGTTGACCAGTGAGCTTCCCTGGCCATAGTCCTGGATCCTCTGGCAGACACTCATCTGTGTTGCTCAGCCTCTCACTTTCTTCTTCTTCTGGCCTCTCCTCATCATCCTCACTACCTTCAGAGCAACCATCCCCTTCCCTATCTTCACTTACATCATCCTCTTTCACATATTCTATCTCTTTCTCTGCTGCAAGGGGGACAGACACCACACAAGCAAAATGGATCATGAATTAGGTCAGCAAAATATAACCTAACATGTCCTTTCAGATAAATCTGTTGCTAATGATTGCTTGTAAATTGAATAACTTAATTGTATCGTGAGCTCAGGGGCGGATTTAGGACTGAAGAAGATCCGGGGCTTAACACACAAACACGCGCGCACACACACGTGACACGCACTAGTCAACATCATATATATTTGTCTTGTACCACATAATTTTTTAATCTAAAGCTACATATTAAGCATATTCAGGGCAGAATATTGTTCCTGTTAGTGTTTAGTGTGAGATGAAAGTAAATATTCACTTTCCAGCAACTTTACCTGAGAAGCTAACTTTAGGCAAACCAGCAACACAACAAATATTTTCAAATAAGACTCACAAACCTGAGTCAACACCAGTCTCATCAAAGCTGGGGTTCTGTCATTGTACTTTTTGTCTAAAAAAAGTCCTTATGTCCATCTTCACTCATGCATTTCAGGCAGAGACTGCAGAAGAAGCTGGCTGCTGAAGGGCTTCTTCTTCAGTGGTGGAGGCTCAGGCAGGCTGTATACAAACTACTGCCAGCTGCTCCCTCTCTGTTGGACTTTGTTACTGCATGTTACTTCCACGTTTCAGATCCGGGGCTTTTCATAAAACATCCGGGGCTTCAGCCCAAGTAGCTGGGCCTAACGCCGCCCCTGAGTGAGCTCACCTTGTCTCATCTCCTCAGTGCTTTCTGGAGACAATGAGGGCCCTGCTGCTGCTGCTACTGCGTCTAAAGGGCCATGTGGTTCATGATGTTAAGCTTTGCTAATACTGATATATATTGATATATTAAATACATATGACATGAAATAAACCAGGTTCTCTCTGTGAATGTAATGTACTCTAAATTTTATAATCCCTGCATTATCAGCCAAATTATAAGGTTGTCCGTTTTCAAGATCAAATATAAAGAAATTTAAAATAGGCTTAAAATATCTAACCAAGTCAATAACAATCCTCTAACACCAGTGTCATCATGCTATACGAAAAACAGTGGCAGCTTCCCATTCCTGAGATTACCACGAATCCATCGATACCAAGTTTGTCCTGGTCCATGACTGGGAAGGAGCTGAAATATCCACACAGAGTGAACCTGTTTTTACTGTGAGGTCCGCAAATTAATTGGCGGCAGCCGCCCGCGATAATAATTCTGATTAATATATATATAAATTAATTAGTGTTATCACTGATAACACTAATTAATTTATATTTGATCTTGATGGTGAAACTAAAGGCGTTTAACACTTTCTTTCTTCTTTCGGTCTTTATTTTGGTTTATAGCATTAACATAAAATTTTTCTTTTCAAACAAAACAATATTAACAATTTGAATTTAAACCAAAGAAGGACTAGGCAGAAGCAATGCTTATTTTAGCCTACCCTATTTTCCACCTAATATACATAACCAATATACATTTCTTTTATTTTCCCCAATATAAATATCCACAATGAAAATTCATTAATGTCTATACATACTTTTCGTACCCTGTAAATATGTGACACTTTACACCTGCTTTAAACTTTAGTAAAGAAGTACATTTCTTCAAATCATCATCTAACTCATTCCACAATTTCACACCAACAACAGAAACACATCTTGATTTCACATTAGTTCTGGCTTTTACACATTCAAACATAAATACACCTCTGAGATTATAATGATCATCTCTTGGTTTGAAATAAACTTTTATGCAATTTGGGATATTATTATTAACTACTTTATGAAGAATCTCTAAGATTTTTACTTTAATAATGTCTCCTAATTTTAGCGTTTTCGTTTGACTAAATAGATAATGGGTTGGTTCGAGGTATCCCAATTTATTAACTATTTTAATCGCCTTTTTTTGTAATTTAAATACAGTCTCAACACACGTTTTACCTGCATTTCCCCAAACCTCTGCACAGTAAGACAAATAAGGCATAACTAAAGAGCTATAAATCAAAAACAAGGCTTTTTAATTTAGTATATCAATAGTTTTATAAAGTATAGCAATAGATTTAGACACTTGCTGTTTGATATATTCAATGTGTGGTTTCCAACTGAGTTTACTATCAATAGTCACACCTAGGAATTTAGTTTCATGTACTTGTTCAATTGGGACTCCATTTAAATACAGCTTAGCACCGTCATTGTCCCTTTTCCCTGAAAATATCATAAATTTGGTTTTATTTTCATTTAGTGATAGCTTGTTGTAATCAAACCATTTTATAATTGAATCCAATTCGTTTTCAACCTCTTGTAATAATTTACTCATATCTTTTCCCATACAAATGAAATTTGTATCATCTGCAAACATAATAAATTTTAACCGAGACGATACAGAAAAGATGTCGTTCAGGTATAGGTTGAATAATTTCGGTCCTAGCACCGAGCCTTGCTGTACACCACATATTACTCTTTCAAGCTGTGAATCTATATCATTAACATTTACATATTGAAATCTACTGCTTAAATAACTTTCAAGCCATTGATTGGTTTTACCACGAAGACCATAGTATTCACATTTCTTGAGCAGGTATATGTGATCAATTGTATCAAATGCCTTACTCAAGTCAATCAAGACAGCCACTACATGAAGTTTTTGATCCACTGCTGTTGCAATCTGCTCTACCAAATCCATAACTGCTAATGAGGTTGAACGATTCTTCCTAAACCCATACTGATGGTCATTTAAAAGATCAAACTTGTTGGTAAATGCTTCAAATCTAATTACAAAAAGTTTCTCAAGTATATTTGAAAACTGTGGCAGTAAAGAGATAGGTCTATAGTTACAAGCTAATAATTTATCACCACTTTAATAAATAGGAATAACTCTGGCTATTTTCATTTTTTCAGGGACTGTGCCACTTGAAAATGATTTATTACAAATATAAGTAAAAGGTTCAATAATGCAATGGATAACCTCCTTCATGAGAGACATATCTATCCCATGAAAATCTAAGGACTTTTTACTTTTGAAACTATGTACCGCTTGGATCACATCACTTTGGCTTACACTGCTCAAAAACATTGTATTATTATTTTTATTTATTTCATGGTTAATGTCAACTTCTGGCAGCTTTTTAGCTAGATTAGGGCCAACATTCACAAAATATTTATTAAACTCATTTGCAATGTTCTTTCAATTTTTATTGTGAATATCTATACCTGCTTCTTTTGTATTTCTTATTAATTTATTTAGCACATTCCATGTACCTTTAATATTATTTTTGTGTTTTAGGAAAAGCTGATCATAATATTCCTTTTTTTGCTTCCTTATTATTGTAGTTAATTTGTTTTTATATTCCTTATACCTTTTTTCTTTTTCCTTTGTTGGATTTTTTATAAAATCCAGATACAGTGATTTCTTTTTCTGGCAAGCCCTTTCCAATCCCCTAACAATCCAGGGTGGGGACCTTTTTTTTAAGTTTTGCTTATGATATTTTAGAGGACAATGTCTATCATAAGCTCCCAAAATGAACACTGAACACCTAACATGAATGCAGCTTCTGAGAGCTAGCTAATATCAGCTAAAACTGTGTTCTGCTGCTCACCTTCCTTCTTGA